TTGTTTTCTGTAATGCGAGTTATTAATATTAGCATTGTAAAAAAGCATTCGCACGCCATCAACCATAAACTATTTACTTATGTATCAAAAAAATATAGTGAAAAAAGGTGGAAAGTGCATGAAAGGTTAAACTTCAATTTTTCATTCAATGATATTTATCCTATTGATAAGAAATATATTTTCCTTTCAGTTTCAGACAAGGAATCATGACACAGCGAGTATCACCAGTACGGAGGTGGACGAGAGGCCGAAGTGGTCGAACGGAGTCGAATTTTTGATGTCCTGCATAGCCATGTCAGTAGGTTTGGGAAATATTTGGCGATTTCCATTTACTGCGTACGAAAATGGTGGGGGAGCTTTTCTCATACCATACATTATCGTATTATTTGTTATTGGAAAACCTGTGTATTATTTGGAAATGACATTGGGGCAATTTACTAGTAAAAGTTCAGTGAAGATTTGGGCTTTATGTCCAATTTTAAAAGGTATATAACGTATTCTAGGGCAGCTAGTAATGTATATATATATATATATATATATATATATATATATATATATATATATATTTCTTTTTCTTTTGTCTGCTTGATATTGCACCTAATAAATTTTCTGATAATTTATTCCCAGGCATAGGCATTGGTCAAATAATATCAACCTGCTGTGTAGTTTCCTACTACTGTTGCCTGATGGCTCTGACTTTGTTCTATTTATATTCGTCGTTTGCCTCCGACTTGCCCTGGTCCTATTGCAAGCCGGAGTGGGAGGAAACCATCAACAAAATTTGTGTTGATTCAGCTCCTAGCAGCAATTCAACGACTTCGACGCTGCAAGGAAATCTAACGAGAGGAATTAGTAGTTCAGAGCTATTTTTTGTGTAAATATCAAATGATTACTAGTACTAGAATGAGTTAAAAATATACTTTAAAATAAGAAATATTTTTTATGTATATGATAGCCCACGAGATTCGTAATTTTTTTTTAGAATCAGTTATTTTTCAAAAAATCAATTTGTAGTTCTCTAAGTAATGATTTTCCTCTTTGGTCTAATTGCTCACGATTTATTTCAATATTGTTATTTTTTTCAGGAAAGAAGTCCTCAAGGAAAACAAGCTAATTTCTAGTAGCTTAGGTCAGTAAATCAATGCATATCATATGATCTGTCTTTATATATCTCATCCTATGTTTGTTTTATACTATTATGGCACGACTTATGGATTGATGTTTATTTTATACTAGTTATCTTTCATAGAATTTCTTAGTCAAATATTAATGAGCTCTTATTTCTTCGTAATGCAATTTACACAAAATGCAAACTCATAAAACTATTACGCAATATTTTAATAATATCCGATTTTCGAAATATTGCAGGAATTAATATAACTTTCATTAATTTGAAATCGATATTTTAGGTTTACCAGATGTTAATTTGACGATTTGTCTCTTTGTTGCATGGTTAGTGGTGTTCCTGGTATTGGTCAAAGGCGTGAGCAGTTCCGGTAACTTCTTTGATGATGATTTAATAACATTATTAATACATTTCGTCAATTTCTTACATTATGGATTTATTTTTAGGAAAAGTCTCATATTTCCTGGCAATTTTTCCATATGTTGTTATGATTGCCTTGCTGATACGTGCAGCAACTTTAGAAGGAGCAGGAAAAGGAATTTTGTTCTTCATAGAACCACAATGGGGAGAACTTCTAAATCCTAAGGCAAGTTTTGTTTTATAAGCACACTTTTATGAATATATTTAACTGAGAATAATTAATGAAATGAAATAAGATACTTAAGATTAATTAATTTACTGAACAACCTGTACGAGGTCAGATGCGCTCCAGTAATTAAGAATTTAGGAATTAAGAAATTAGGAATTGATGGGACAATTTATATAAAGAAATTTTTCATGAATTTCTTTTTATTTGGATAATTTATTATTATTTTTAACTTATATAACGGATGGCACAGGTATGGAAGGAAGCTGTGAACCAATGCTTCTTCTCGCTGGCGATATCTTTCGGACCGATATTAATTTTCTCTTCATACAATAATTTTGACAGAAATATTCACAGGTGAGAAAATACACGTGAGAGTGCTACTATCATGCATTTGTGAATATTTCATCCAATGTGAAATATGTCTTCTGTTGTGTTTGTTTTTGTTTGTGCTGTAAATATTGCAGAAACGTGCGGTGCAGGTGAAAAAAATATTTTTTTCTTGATGTGATTGATGTTTTTCTATTAGTAAGTCAATTGCTTTGTCAATTTTTCTAAAATATAACGTAATTTGTAATTTTATATAGGCCATGCGGTAAATTGAATTTTAGCATCGATAAGACATTTAGAAAATTATTTGTGCATTAATAATAATGAATAATGTTTATAATTATATATATAATATATATATATATATATATATATATATATATGCGCATATGTATATGTATGTATAAATGCATATTTGTATATACATAATAACACTCGCTTGCCCTAAAATTTATCTCTAGTCAGTACTTGATATAATATATATATATAGTACAGTTACTTGATATAATATATATAAATAATTTTTGAGCTTATTAACAATTTATCGTTAAGAATACCAGAAAATGGCAATGTAACATTTTATATATTTACATTATGTTTTATCATTTGCACGCGATGTGTATATAATTTTGTTTAACGTTATTGTATGATTAGTGTATAATGATAACAAGCAAATTACTTTTATGTATTTCCTTGACACAATATTTTGTTTTATCATTATTTATAATTATTTCATAGAATTAATTGATTTAACATTCATATGAAAATTTAAAAATGTTTATATTACTTTCTCTAATTTGTAGTATCTACTTTATCTAATTTGTAATTTTTAGTCCCGAAGAAGTTTTTCAATTCACGATACAGTAAACGTTTACTTGTGCTAGAAAATTTCTTAGAAGCTTTGTAAATAATTTCATGATCGCCGTTTTTACTGTGAAAGAAATTTCATAAATGTTTCTACTACAAAAAAATATATTATACATATAATATATTTTCAGTGCATTTTTAATTTTATCTAATTGCGTTTTGCAAATTATTATCCTCATTTAGGTTTGGCACGCTGCTGTGACCCAAGCTTGTTTTTCGTTGTCTCTTTGCAATGGTGCTATTATAATGTTTTCGTCATATAACAAATTTGATAACAACGTCTACAGGTCAGTTTGATGACTCTTTAATGTAATTTGTGAGAAATTTTGCATCACCAGGTGTTGGATTCAAACTATTTTAAAAACTATTTTTAAAACTCGGTGAAGGATATCTTATATATTATATATTTCTCAAAATCAAAATATTGACTCTTTAATGGAATTTGTGGAAAATTTTGCATCGGTGAAGGATATCTTATAATATATATTTCTCAAAATCAAAATATTATCAACAGGCGCGGTCGAAAACTTTCTTTGCAGTAAAGAAATATTTCGTTATGTCGTGGCCGTCAGCTTTTATCATCACTATAATTTAACTGTTAGTGCATTATAAAGTAACAAATTTAATAAATATGTGTCACTTATTAATAATTCATATTATAAATATTAATTTTATTTAAGTTTTCTATTCAACTGTACTAAATTATTAAATAATCGTCTAAGAGAGCACTTATCTCAATCAGCCCAATTATTATTATCAGTTAGTTAATTATTAATTGCTATCTTTATTCATTATATTTAACTTAGAAAAAAAAATGTTTTGAAATTACTCCAACTATTATCTTTATACTCATTTATCAAGACACCTTTAAATGAAAACCTATTTCCTTCCGAAACTTCATTTCCATGAATTTCCTTCAACACACTTGTATTCTGTTAACCATCAAACTCAAATATTGCTTTTCATGAAGTTTTTACTAACCAAACAAAAATTGATACCGTTTAGCTTACATTATTTTAATTTTTGTTATATTTTTACTTTTAATTTAGAGACGTGTTAATTGTTACAACATTAGACACATTCACAAGCTTATTGGCCGGAACAACTATATTTGGAATTTTGGGCAATTTAGCTCACAATTTGAATATTGATGACATAGGTCAGGTAATACAGAGTGGAACAGGTTTAGCGTTTATTTCTTATCCTGATGCTATATCCAAGTTTGATATGGTGCCACAGGTAATTATTCAAAAGTTATATTTTTTTTATTATTTGTTTAAATTGAGGTTTTGTTAGATCTAATTTGTAATTTTATTGATTATTGTAGGTATTTTCTGTCTTATTTTTCTTCATGTTATTTGTTCTCGGGGTTGGATCAGCGGTAGCCCTACATGGAGCTATTATTACGGTGATATCGGATCAATTTGGAATTCGCTATTGGAAAGTTGCTCTTGCAGCCAGCACAGTCGGCTTTTTGATTGGATTGGTTTATGTGACACCCGTTAGTGAATTCATAAAATATACAAATTAAAATGTCCCTTCATAATGAAGAGAAATAAAAATTAAATTGCAGGAAGGACAATGGCTGTTGAATTTAGTAGACTACTTCGGTGCAACGTTTTTGATATTCGCTCTGGCCATTATACAGAATATTGGAGTTTTTTGGATTTATGGTATAAAATATTTATCTTCATCAATTCGTTTGTTAATTGTTGATATATTAATTAGTTAGTTGTTGATACTTGGTATTAGGTCTCGAAAATTATTGCCTCGATGTTGAATTCATGGTCGGTGTCCGTGTGGGTCCATATTGGCGCATCTGCTGGGGCTTTGTTACCCCAGTGTTGATGACCATTATATTTATTTATTCACTAGCAGTAATGAAACCACTCAAATATAGTGAACTCTTTTATCCTGATTCCTATTATGGTGAGGCTTGATTTAATAATTATTTAAGCTGAAATATTAATTTAAATGGTACCAAATTTACAGTTGCTTGATTATTGATTGAATTAATATAAAATGTAATTTCAGCTGCTGGATGGACAATGTTAGCAGTTGGTATACTTCAAGTACCACTTTGGGCAATTTGGATATATTTGAAAAATAGAAAACATTCCATTAATGATGTGAGTCTATATTTATATTTGAGTTTGAGTCAAAAATTAATCGTTTGTGATTTGAAATTATTTCAGAAGGTATAAAATGTAGGCAAGGCTTTTGTTTTAATTTAATATTAATTTCCCCAAGCCAAAGTTTGTTTTCGTTATTATTACAAAAATTTAAAAGCCAAAGAAAAATGTTTGCAAACTTTTTTGTATCGTGGTGGACCTCTTGGGTTTTAGCATGGACCTTCTATTTAATTTAAATTAGAACTGACTAATATTATAAGGCGCAGCAGCAAGAATCATTAATCACTCATTAATTATATAATATAGATTTCATGAACTTTACACAACTTTTCAATGAAAAATTCAAAATGCCAGTTTTTAACAATCACATTTTTAACTTGTTTGGTTCACGGAATATTTGCTTGAAATTTACTTTCTGATTATAAATGCATATTATAAATATTTCTAGACATTGAAAAACGTGTTCACTCCCAATGAGAAATGGGGACCAAAGAGTAACAAGATTCGGAAAGAATGGATCAAATTTAAAACAAGCGCTAAGGAAAGGCGAGAAGCCATGAACCTTAATTTGTTTCAACATGTGATGTATAGTTTTCTAGGAAAGTATAAATACAATGATTAATGCATAATTAATATCAATTATTGGCATAAAATAAATTAATTAAATCATTAACAAAAATGGAATTCAAATAGACATATATACAATGATAATTCCATCTTTGTGATTTTGCTAGAATATTCAATTCAGTGCCAATTCAGTACTACGTCCAATTTCTTGTGATAGACTTAGTTGAGTTGAAACGTATATTATACAAATTTAAATCAGGATTGTATGTGGTTAGTATTTGAGAATATAAATTTGGTGTTTTTAACAGCCATGGTGTATTATAGATAAAATAATATTATATTATGGTGTGCTTTATATATTATCGTGTAAATGAGTAGTAAATTCTTACAATAATTTATTATACAACTGATATAGCTTTAATTGTAAACCAGTATACAAATTAGTTTGAACAAGATTTATTATGTAGTTTATAAATATTTAACAATTTAAAGGTACATACATAAATATCATATTTATTTTTTTATATATATATATATATATATATATATATATATATGCTTGTACAAATATTAAATAATAAATATTAAATGGTAAATACCAGAAGTTAACAGCAAAGCATTCTATTTCATATTATTTTCAAGTTTCAATTAAACTAATGAACTAGTTGCCCATTGTAAAACTTCTGTAGGAAGTGTAGGATATTTCTTAACTGCAGTCATGATTTCTGTGGATGTAACCAGCATTGTGTGAAGATGGTATTCTTTATGAGCTTTTATTGGGTTCCCGATAGGAACTATTAACTCTAAACTAACTAAATGCTCAAAAGCTTTCTGTACTACTTCTCGCTGAACCGTTTGAATTGATGTATTACTATTCGTAAACTTCTTATATCTATCAAAAATCATTTCAAAGTTTGCTGGTTCACCATCATAAATTTCAGAATGATGTTTGAAAGAAATCAAGAGACAAATTTCAAGTACTGAAAGTCCAAGTAAGATGAATATTTTATTATCATTGTAGGTTTTTTGTACTAAATCTAGAATATCTAGTTCAGTTAACTCAGGATGTTCGACAGATAATTTTGATATTGTTATCATAAGTAAATTTTGCAAATTTCGGCCACTAAGATCTACATCAAAAATATGTTCCAAGTTTTTCTTAACATTTGGTATCTTCATTAATTTTTCAATACTTTTGTTCCATCTTTGATAGGATATATTCTCTGAAGTGGGTAATAACAAAAGGCTTTTGAACAAGTTAATGCGTTTATCTATTTTGTCAATATCTCGATTGTCCCAAAGAAATATTTGCCGATGAGAAAATCTACTTTTAACCCTTTTTTCCAGCAACTCAACAACATCTAATCTGCATGTCAAGCCTAATACACAAATAGGTGCTTGTGCTGATTGAGCGATATCAAACAAATTATAAAGTAGTGTTTGATTGTGATGAGAACAGAATAAATCAAACTCATCTATAATGAATATTACACTTTTCGACTGTTTATCTCCGGTTTTCAGGCATGCTAGCAGATAAGCTAAATTATCAGCAAAAGAACCAAAAACTCTTCCCTCAACTGACTCTTCTAATTTTAATTGGATAGTAATTGACTGTAAGGCAAGACGATCATTTGTATGAACTATTCCTGACAAATATACCAATGAAGAGTTTGCAGAAAAATCATATTCAGCTAGTAATTCGTTAATAACTTTATTAATTAGAGTTGTTTTGCCACAGCCTTTAGGTCCAATGACTAAGGCAGAGTTTGATTCCCCATGATCTACAGTTCTTTTCATCATGTGTTTTAAATGAAGATATTGTTCGTTATAATCCTGGTATTGGTTATAATCATTTTCTAATCTATTTTTCAACAATCTCCTAATTGTTGTAAAGTTTTCAGCATTGATAACTTTCGACATTGTTGAATTTGACAAAAAATGCACAATGAACTAAATATATTTGTATTTAAAAATTTAAAGAAGTTGGGTTCTGATTCGAAATATAAATAAATAAAATATATATAAAATAATAACCAATACAGAAACAATAATAGCAAAAAGCCGCTTGTAAACAGAATACTAACTGACATTTGACATAATACTAACTGACAAATGTCACACTGTAAACACAAATCAACCACTGATGAATAAATTTAAACATTTAGACGCAGCTCAATGATTTTGACAGTTTAACTTCAACGTGTCAAAAACTGTTATTATAATTGAACGTAAACAAAATAATTTATTTTGTGATGAAGAGCATTGTGTTTGTTAATTTCATTTCTTGTAATACATTGCAATAGTAAAATTTAAAATACATAATCTTAAGCATTTATTAACAGAGTAATTTACAATAATGGCTGTATATTTAACATGTATTACATCTGCTGGAGGAATACCTATATTTAACAGGAAAAAAGGCGACGGAGAACAAGTACTTGATTTGACTGTTTAGGAATCTAATATATTATTTTTTTTATTAAACATAATACTTTTTAGTTGCCATTTTCAACAGTGGGTGCTTTGAAGGGCATTCATCTCTTTTGCAAGACTTATTCTTATGATTTACAGTCTACCAAAATTAAGAATGGATCTATTGTTTGGAAAGAATTTTATGATAGGTATGCATATTAAAATAGTTGATAGATTCTTTTCTTTATTATATGCATTTAATAATATCATACATTTTTTAGTATAATTCTGATCATAATATCTCCAACTACAACAGAAATTGTTCTGCAAGAATTTTTATCAAAAGTTTTTTGTGCTATGGTTTTTTATGTTGGACTTGATCAGCTGAAAGATATCAAAAGTGTTGAACGATTGAAAAGAGATTTAAGAGTAAATATACATTTTTTATGCTTTCTTATTTAGGTATCATTTGTCTATTTGAACTGTAATATATGATAATATGTTAAACTATGTCTTATGATTCTTAATATTTTAGCCTTGTATGTCTTTGGTAGAAAAAATGTTAGAAAATCTGAATACAGAAATAAATTATACAGAATGTATATTAGGACCAGACACAAATGTTCTAGCATCTTGTCTTGAATCATTTAGTGAGCAAATAGAATCTCCTTTTTGTTGTTTGTTAATAAATAACCGTCTATCAATTGCAACAGAGGCTTGGTGGACATTGCACTTCTTTGAGAGGCAATTATTGTCGCTTGTTGCTTTGTTGGATCCTGCCAGTACAAATTCTGTAAAGGAACTACCTGTATTTTTACTTCATAAGAGTCCAAATGTAGGTTAAATCAATAATTATATTAAAATCATTTCAAGGTCACTAATAGTAGATATGATATTTTAATATAGGTTGCATTTCGATTAATCTGGACACCAGTTTCTTCCAGCAGCATTATTTTAGCACTCTGTGGGCCAACACCAGATGCTAGTGAAATTACAAATATTATTCAAATGTCTTGGCAAAAGGCTCATGAAGCATTAGCTGCTGCTTTACTTTGCGCACCAAGAAATTTTCCATTGCATATTCAGATTGATCCAACAGTATTAGGGTAATTATGATGATAATCAGGGTGCCCCAGAACTCAACATCAAACTGATGGCCAAAATTAATCTTGTCACCCCCTTTTGGCTTGACCTTGAGTTCTGGGACTCCTAGTACATATATATGTATACAGTGGTGTTGTCGAGCCGGAACGCGCCCGAACGTCGTTCCGGCAAATCATTTTTGAGCCGGTACGCGTTCCGGCAAAAAAATTTAAAAAAAAAATCCCTACACACAGAGACTTTCCTTTTATATGTGATAAACATACATATATATGCAAAAAATAGGTTTTGTAATATATTTTGTTTTTTTTTCTTTTCGAAAGGAACTGGTACAAATGTGAGAACCGGTTTTTGAACCGTTTTTTTAATCTTAGCGTTCCGGTAAAAAAAATATTAGCACAACACCACTGTATGTATATATATATATATATATATATATATATATATATATATATATATATATATATATTAGCGTGGTCCTTAAAATGGTCATTTTCGAATTTCTTTGCTCCCAGGGGCTCAAATGATTCCAAATAGATAAAAAACAATTCTCTGAAAGTTTTAGCTCTTAATAATAACGTTTAGATAGAGCGCAATTCAATCAATATTTTGTATGGAAATACCATGAAAAATTTTTCAAAAATTTTAAAAATATTTCTTAGATGTAATTTAGCGAACAAATGAATGAATAAAACTCATTCATTTGTGGCTATGTTATACCTAAAACATTTTTTTTTTAATTTTCAAAATTTTTTCCATGTTCTTTCCATACGAAGTTTGATTGAATTGCGCTTTATCTAAAAGTTAATATTAAGAGCTAAAACTTTTAGAGAATTGTTTTTCTATCAATTTGGAACCATTTGAGCCCCTGGGAGCAAGGAAATTCGAAAATGACCATTTTAAGGACCACCCTAATATATATATATATATATATATATATATATATATATATATAAGTTGTGCATATTTTCAGCATCCTGCTAATTAATTTTAAAATTGGCAAGTATGTCATATCTCGTAGTCCACAATTAACTGGTTTGAAAAGATCAGTAAGTGGTGCGCACCGTGTTGATGTTTTGCATGCATTCCATAATCAAATAATAAAAACAACCATGGCTGCAAATAGGTTTAATGATGATAATACATCAAATAGTATGTATCTTAAAGCATGAAATAGTTTAAACATGATCAATATTGACTTTTAATTTATTCAGGTTTAGGCAGTACATCATCTAGGGGTAATAAATCACCTCATAATCAGATCTGTGATTTATTTTGGAATGGCTTTGAAAGCTACTGGTGCAGTGAATATCACAAATGCCATTGCTTAGTTGAAGGAGACAATATGATGTGTATTATGTATACTTCAGTGATGCCTGTCTGCACAATGAGGTGAAAATAAGATATTTAAATAGATAATATTATGTTGATGGTTCATTTTAATTTTTTACTCTAGAATTGTGACACAGAAGACACTGAAGTTATTTCTAACAGATAAACACATCCATTGGTAATTTTATATAATAATTTGACTGATTTAATAATCATAATATCAAAATATATTATTATTACATTTATATTTATATTATTACATTACACTATATATATATATATATATATATATATATATATATATATATATATATATATATATATATATATGAGTAAGTACTTGTGGGGCGATACATCAAAAAATAAAAAGCAAAGATTTATAAATCTTGAATTCCAAACGTTTGGACATTCAATTTAATATCATCATCAGTGGATCTAAAAACAGTATAAAAAATTAGTATAATTAGGTAATTATAATATATGTAGATTGGTATAGAAACTATAAATATAAGAGAAAAACTAACAAAACAGCAACACTTAACAACAAACAAATTATAAAACATAAATACTATGCTATATGTATACTGAACTCATCATCATTTTGATATAATAAATTTATCGTGAAACGTTAATTAAAAGCCGAAAAAATGGATATGTGTAGAAGTGCCTAGGTGTACGGTGTACCTTGAATAGCTTGATAAGTATCTCAATTTTGATTCAATTTTATAATTAAATAATTCATTTACAGCGCCAATGTATCCTTTAATTATATACACGCAATTATCAATAGTATAATTTATATATGTGCTTTTGTAGGTTATAATTGAGTACTTCCACCACATATCTGTTATTATCAAATTTTAAATTCACGAAAGTCTCTGAGTCGTGTATTGTGTAAAGACTTTACTCAGACAATTGCAACATATTAATTTTTTCTGTATTTGTTGTACCGTTTAAAACACTTTAATTTTCAATTTAGTGTAGAAATTGAGACTCATCATTTTATTTAAAGCAGTTAAGAACATTTAACATCACTCATATTGATGTATATGCATTTTGGTGTGAAGAGTAATTTAAAAAAGTCATAAAAAAAGCTAAAGTTATGCAAGATTTTAAATTTATGTATAGCATAGTATTACAGCGTATATATTTACTTGCGTTCTTATATATACCAATAACTTTATAATGTTTGTGATGTGTATGTGTGTGTGTGTTTCGACATATATCTAGTATGGTATTTTTACATTTCTAAAAATAAATTTTTGAATTTTCTATATTTTGAAAATTGGTTTTATTTTATTATGAACACCATTTAAGCTGTTTGAAGAATATTTTTATAATTAACAATTGTATACATAATTTTGAATTGTGTAGTTTATTATATTATGATCGCAGTAAATTTAGATTTGAAACTTATTTGATAAACGAAAATTTTGTTTAAAGTTTTGTTTCATTGTAAAACTTATACTAACTGATCAAATCAATATGTAATCACATAGATTACTGTACTAAATTTTTTATAAAATTAGTCCTAAGTAGTTATAAAATAATTAATTATTAAAATACACTTGTAAAAATTGTAATGATCAATTAAAACAATCATAAAATGTAAAAAGTAGTATTTATTATATGTTATTCATTTAATTGTTTTTCAACTTTGAAAAGGAGTGGTTTGTTTTCACTAGATAATTCAAATTGCTTATTTTTTGTGTTTTCTCACAGAATGTCATTTGATTTTGATAATTTAAAATAAACGAAATTTAAAGAAAAATGTAATATTAAACATTTTTTAAAGAAAAATATATTTTTTGTTTGACCTTGGTTTGATTTTTTAATATTTCAAAATATTCAACCAACTCTACTCTCAATAAGTACACAGTAAGACTCTTTTGCGCTAACTTTGTTAGTTTACAAATGTTTTGTGGCTAGTTTGTATCATCATTAGTTATTTTATTGTAAACTAATAAGTTAAAACATGAAAAAATTGTATGTTTGTATTTATATAATATTTATTGGCTTCACGTGTTGCAGGAATGTAGAACTAAATTTTCTATCAAAATTTAAAAGCACTTCAAAATTATTCATGTATATGAGTGATATATAAATAAAACAGTGAAAATTTGTCTGTATATTTAAAAATGTGAAAATATTTAACAAATTTTATACTTGAGAAAGGAAAAGCAAACAAGTGTACTGTAAAACACAGGTTAGTGAAAAAAAAAAAAATTTATTCTACACCAAATTTATTTATTTCAATAAACAACAACTAATTCATTGCAGCGTAAATTTTTAGAGAGTTTACTAAAAGAATGGAATATCGTTATTTAATTTATAAAACCCTTAATGTTAAAATTGAAGATTCAAATAAACGTCGTTTCGATTTCAAAACAGAAGAGGCGTTCGAGTTCCTGAAACGCCATCTTCGACCGAGCGAACGTGCACGCTCTGCAGTCGCACGTCTACAAGTCTTTTGCGCATCTATGCTTTGCGACTATAGGAGTTGCGTGAGGGAGTTGCCATTGCGAGAGTTCATTTCCATCGTGGCGATTGCTGGAGGAAGACATCGAGACGTCGTCGAACACTGACGAGCGGGCCTGACCCTTCGCTGCCTGTGGAGTACGTGCGACCTGCGAGCGTCACCTGGTACGTTGCATTTGTGCTAATTATATTTCTCTTTGCGGATTCACTCGGATTGCATTTCGTGTTTTAAGATGTTTTAGATTTAATTGAAACCTTTCCTCATTTTTTTTTTTTTTTTTTTTTGAAAACGTGTGCTCGATTTATGTTGTTTTTGCTCAAGTCGTACTACTGTCTAAGACGTACGCCGGATATATTTATTTTATTTTGCATCATTTGGTGCCCACTGTTAAATAAAACTACATATTATTATTATGTTGACTGGGCAAGAGTTCACAAAGTTGCGAAAGTAAAAAATGACTGTCAATTCATTTTGTGAATTACTATGAGTACATTTATACGGATCGTTTAATTTGAAGTCTTATTTACATCATTATCATCTGCTAATTCACTTCAATTTATATATCAGAAGTATTGTGTAAATTGGACCACAATCATAATGTCATCAAGAATTTTAAAGCAAAATTAGATTTCAAAATTAGTTGAAAAAAAGTTACAATTTGAACAACAAATTGACAAAGAATAGTTACAATTTGAATGAATATTTGAATATTTGGTGACGCATCAACAATGACATTTAATAATGTATGTATAATCAACTAAATTCAATAATAATTTGTGTATTTTGCAGGTGCGGGTAGGTTTGCGTTTGCTGCTACCAGAGTCCTTCAGTTTTTATACGAACATTGTTACTGTGACGCTCTGAATGTAGTATTTATTGGAATTGCATTTGGCACGAATAGATTTATTAAGCGGTGATTTTGTTCAAGATATTAATTGATCAATACTTTAGTTGTCACTATAACTTTTAGAAATTTACAAAATCATTAAGGCATTGAATTTCATGATTCGAATGATCACGATATGTCTTGCATGTGGGTTAATTTATTAGTTAGGTAGCATCAGTAGTTTTAATATTAATAATAACAAATACTAATACACTAATCTATTCAACTATTGAATAATAATGTGGTCGTTTGAATCATTTGAGATTATGCAATGTGTGGATTTGACATATTATTTTAAATTTTAATTTTCACTGTTTGAAATTTATGTTAACGCATTTCATATAAAACCAAGTGCAATTCTTAAACTGCTAGTAAATTTCTACATTCTATTTCTGGTCATCAAGATGAAATCACATGGAGGCCACAAGATATCATATCAAGCAAATTGTTGATAATCGAATGGCCAAGCATCGAGTGAAAATTGAACACTGACCCCTTCACCAGGAATCGCTCTGAAAATAATTTAAAAAGTACGTTTTTATCCACAATCAGTATAAATGTGAACATTAAATAAAATGTTTTTTTTTTTCCAGGTCCTTTCAACTACTGCTGCTCTGCACGCTGACCCCTTCACCAGGAATCGCTCTAAAAATAATTTAAAAAATACGTTATTATCCATAATCAGTATAAATGTGAACAATAAATAACATGTTTATTTTTTTTTTCAGGTACTTTCAACCTCTGCTGCTCTGCACACTGACCCCCTCACCAGGAATCGCTCTGAAAATAATTTAAAAAGTACGTTTTTATCCACAATCAGTATAAATGTGAACAATAAATAACATGTTTATTTTTTTCCAGGTACTTTCAACCACTGCTGCTCTGCACACTGACCCCTTCACCAGGAATCGCTCTGAAAATAATTTAAAAAGTACGTTTTTATCCATAATCAGTATAAATGTGAACAATAAATAACATGTTTATTTTTTTCCAGGTACTTTCAACCACTGCTGCTCTGCACACTGACCCCTTCACCAGGAATCGCTCTGAAAATAATTTAAAAAGTACGTTTTCATCCACAATCAGTATAAATGTGAACATTAAATAATATGTTTATTTTTTTCAGGTTTTTTCAACTACTGCTGCTCTGCACACTGACCCCTTCACCAGGAATCGCTCTGAAAATAATTTAAAAAGTACGTTTTTATCCATAATCAGTATGAATGTGAACAATAAATAACATGTTTATTTTTTTTCGGGTACTTTCAACCACCGCTGCTCTGCACACTGACCCCTTCATCAGGAATCGCTCTGAAAATAATTTAAAAAGTACGTTTTTATCAACAATCAGTATAAATGTGAACATTAAATAATATGTTTATTTTTTTCAGGTTTTTTCAACTACTGCTGCTCTGCACACTGACCCCTTCACCAGGAATCGCTCTGAAAATAATTTAAAAAGTACGTTTTTATCCATAATCAGTATAAATGTAAACAATAAATAACATGTTTATTTTTTTCCGGGTACTTTCAACCACTGCTGCTCTGCACACTGACCCCTTCACCAGGAATCGCTCTGAAAATAATTTAAAAAGTACGTTTTTATCAACAATCAGTATAAATGTGAACATTAAATAATATGTTTATTTTTTTCAGGTTTTTTCAACTACTGCTGCTCTGCACACTGACCCCTTCACCAGGAATCGCCCTGAAAATAATTTAAAAAGTACCTTTTTATCCATAATCAGTATAAATGTGAACAATAAATAACATGTTTATTTTTTTCCGGGTACTTTCAACCACTGCTGCTCTGCACGCTGACTCACTTCACCAGGAATCTTTCCAGAAACATTTTGCCAGGTATGTCTTTAACCATATCAGTATAAGTGCAAACATTCCTATAATGTTTCTTTCTTTTTTGCAGATCTTCTCGAACCAACTATTATTGCCCTGAAGCCTTAAAATCATTCACGTGAATGACTCGCAAGTGGTTTTTTTCAATGACTGTCTATAATTATGCATGATTAACTTAACTCTTATTAACTCAATAACATGACTAACCTCACTAACTTAATTAGGCAGTTAATATAAAAACCACTTGTTGAGTTTTACTATGAAGGTCTTAATGGGGTTACGTGGAAGACACCGCTGCATGATTAATCAGGTAATTTATTCTTTATAGTATATTTTATGAACTTTGTTACTAATTCATTGTTTTCGTTTATAGGGTAACCAACTTCAAGCCAAGTGCTCTTCAACGCTCAAGTTGCTCATGAGTGAGAACAATCATTTGATCTACTAATTATGCTGTCCGTCCGTCCGTCCGTCCGTCTCTTCACCAGAGAAGATGCCTACTATGATTTATTAAATAGTTAAGTGCTTAGATGTTAATGAAATAATGAATAAATATATTGTATTTAATTTATTTGTTTTAATTTAATTATGAGCCACTTTACGGCCAAATCACATTATGCTGTAACGTAAATTACAGAAATATTTAAACATGTCTACATTTTAAAAATTTCTTGTGTTATTAATAGGGATACTTATTGAGTGCACTCTTTAGTGTAGTCAATTGTGTAGAACAGTTTCTTCACTGTTTGGATGCTTTCAAACATCTTGCCGCATCTTGGTTAAGCTCTTTATACCTTTGCTTTGACTCGGTAGAACTCTGCGTCATTGCTTTGACTCAATAAAAACGCGTTGACAATACTTTGCTTTTTTCCAAACCCTTATGTTAGTCAAGTGCCTTAAACATTTAATGTGTCAAACCGATGTTTTCTCTTGTTTAAATATTATACTTTCTATTATTTCTTTAAATGGTGCACTTTTTTTCTTAATGTTAGCTATAAATATCACTTAATTTAATATCATACTGTGTTATTATTATATATACTATAATATATATATATATATATATATATATATATATATATATATGAGTGAGTTCTTGAGGGCGATATATCAAACAAAGAAAAGCTAAAGATTTATAAAATAATCTTTATTTCCAAACGTTTCGACATTCAATTTAATGTCATCATCAGTGGATCTAAAAACAGTATGAAAATTAGTATATCTAGGTAATTATAATATATGTGGATTGGTAAAGTAACTATACAATAAGAGGAAAATTAACAAACAGCAACACTTAACAACAAACCAAATATAATAGGAAAGGTAGTAGAGACTAGAATAAATAATTAAAAAATATAGGCAAAAATATCTAACATGTACATGTGTATAGCTATAGTTACATAGATAGGTATGAGTATATGTATGTTTCATACATGTACATGTATGTCGTTGTGAATATGCATGCACGTTGCATATATGTATATGCGTATATTTATATTTGTATAGTCGTACATGTATATGTGTACAATATAGGTATATATTGTTGTATCTGTATATCATGTGTGTGTATATGTATATATGCATGTATATTATATAATATATTATATATATTATATGTGTTATATGTGTGTATATGTGTATGTATATATATGTATATATGCGTAGGTTTATATGAGTGTACTTAGATATTTTTTTCCTATATTTTTAATTATTTATTTAATTCTAGTCTCTACTACCTTTCCTATCTTTTATATTGGTTTTGTTGTTAAGTGTTGCTGTTTGTTAATTTTCCTCTTATTGTATAGTTACTTTACCAATCCACACATATTATAATTACCTAGATATACTAATTTTTATACTGTTTTTAGATCCACTGATGATGACATTAAATTGAATGTCGAAACGTTCACAGAACTCACTCCCATATTTCAACATCAAAATTAACTACTATCAAATATATATATATATATATATATATATATATAGATATATATATATATATATATATATATATATATATACAATTAGACAAATGTTAATGTATTTTAGTCATTTTCATTACTGTAATTGTGAATAAATTAAATATAATGTATTATTAAATACTGTGATACATTGATTGGAAGTTTTGAATAAAACTAACTGAACTTTATTTGGAGTGTTTCATTTCACACAATTTTCAGTGATATATGTTAGAAACACACCGTATAGGTATAGGTATTATAAACATTAATATATTTGTTGATGTTATCATAAACATTAATATACTTATTAATTCGTTTTTCGGCGAGGATTTATTATTTTGAATAAATTTCATAAAATACATTACAATTTTTGTAATCTAATTCCATTATGATCAATGAAGTTAATAAAGTTATGACTTTGATAATTTCAAATAGACTAATCTATGGTTATTCACTCATTTCAAACATGTCAAAAATGTTAACACTTTTCACTCACTTGAATCTATACTATTATTCAAAGTGTTAATTAATTCATTTTAATTAATATACTTTAAATATTGGTCAGTTTTACTTAACTTCGGACTTATACAATAAAGATCAATTTCTCAAATTGATTTTTTCCCTCTTTCGCACAATGACATCTTCATTTTTATTGAAATAATTTATTTTTATTAGATTATTTTATTATTATATTAATTGTATTAATTTTCACCGACACGTTTACGCTACCACCCCTTATCCTTATTTTACACTACCTTAACCTAATACCTACTTACGTTAAGAACTAATACTCTTACCTTGCTTTTCTTTACCACGTCTCGAACCTGCTACCCTGCTCTCTCCATTGACTCCCACCTCCTAACGCGCGACACCACGACGATCACATTAGTAAACCATTGCAAAGGAGATGATATTGTATATTTTAAACGAAAAAAACTAACAGGTCATATGGCCAAAAAAAAGTTGGGTTTGTATGGCCTGTGTTGGCGTAATGGTTAGAGTGATGGCTTCGTACCATAAAGGTACCGAGTTCGAATCATACCTCAGGACAAAAAAAGAGTTTTGTTCACGTTGTGGTATTTATTTAGTATTAAATAATAACACAAAACTAATATTTAGATATAACAAACTAACAAGTCATGAGGCCGAAAGAAAGCAGAATCGATGTGGCCTGTGCTGGCGTAATTGGTAGAGCGATGGATTCGTACCCATAGAGTGCCGCGTTCGAACCATACCTCGGGACAAAAAATGGAAAGCGTGGAATTTATTATTTATTGTAAGATAGTACAAAGATAAAATTTGGATTTGATAAACTAACACGTCATGAGGCCGAAAAAAAGCAGAATCGATGTGGCTTGTGTTGGCGTATTGCTAGCGTGCTAGCTTCATGTCAACAGGGTACCGAGTTCGATTCATACCTCCGGACACAAAACGCAAAATAGCGTGACTGTTGACGCTGTGGAACGAGGTATGCACGGAATCACATCCGTTCGAATTTGAGACCCCGGGCAGGTATGCTCCCCTCGATCTCGATTGAGAGGAGAGATACGCGCGAGAATCCCGTGTCATCCCCTAATGAACCCCGCAGCAGCCCCGAAAAGGGGCGAGGGGGGATTATAGGGGGGTGTGGGGTTCGCGAACCCGCGACCCTGTGGTCCGACCCTCCCGGAAAGGGAGAGGGGGACTATAGGGGGTGAGGGTTCCGCGCGACGACCACCACTGGGTCGCGCCGGTTGAAAAGCTGGGTGCG